CAGCGGCGACATCAAAAAGCAGATCTCGGAATAAGGTGCCATCATCTCAGAACTCCCTCAAGACTCACAGTGTTGGAGCAACCGAAAAGATTAGCAAGCAGTTTTTGACCTAAAGGATCTCCGGCTAGGATGATTCCAACGCTGTTTGTTGCTAAAGGTCCCTGGCCAGACTGACTCAGGGTGGACTTTCAGGCGCTCAAGGCTATAAAACCCTAAACCCTACACCCTTGTAAACCCTAAAACTATACTCAACCGTCACGACGCCTCGGCTGCCTGCGGCGGCGCAGCCTCACGGAAGCTGGAACAGGTGCTAAGACAAGCACTCTCGGCTGCACTCTGAACTTAAGAAGGACACTATGTCGTGAAGCTGCCTTCTTTTAGGATCCTTTAATTGTCGCGAGGGGTCCTGAGGTCCGTCTGTACCTACCGTTTCGTTTTCTGAGCGCAGTGGCAGCAGCTAGTGCTGTCCTAGAACACAGTCTTGTGATCAGCGGGGGTACTTCCAACCAACCTGCTGTACAACAGCCCATGCAGTATTCAAGAACGGCAAATCACGTGTCTACGTCTACGACTCATCGGACTTCTATGCACACTGTTCTGATAAAAGCAGAATCGCAGCTACTGTCAAACATGTGGTCTGACTGTTCAAGCATTCGTTCATCTTCATTCGCGATGTGCAGGCGCAGGGCACGACCCTGCCTCGGACGCCACTGCCTCCTGACCGCCGGCAGCACCCCCGATGTCGCCGCGGAGGCCGGTCAGGGAGACTTCGATGATGTCCTGCATGAGAAGGCAAAAAGGGCCCAAGGATTTCGGCTCGATGATCCTGGCACTCGTCAAATCTCGTCAAGCCAGTCAATCATAGCCTGAAGACCCGAACCTTTCGTCGAGCAAAACCCTTTTGTAACTCAGCCCAAAACTAATTGGCACGTAGAAAACGGCGGTGACGATGATGCCTTATTACGATGATTCTGATTTACTGGATAATGGTTCGCCAAACCCTCCCACTCTTGAGTCCGAAGAGGAGGAGCCTCAATGACGTCATCGTTCCCACCGCCGTCGTCGTCTCCGCCGATGTCTCCGCGTGTTGGATTCCTCCCAGGCCCAGGACCGGGAAGCAAGCTCTGGTCTCGATCTCGTCATCGAGTCTCGGGTTGGTGAAGGGGCGTCCGTTAAGGAAAGACTGACGGTGGACCCTTCATAGAGCTTCTGCCTGTATGCACTGATTCTTGAACGCAAAGAAGCCCGCATCACATCCGAGAAAAAAGCCCTTATGATTGCCGAAAGGCGTAGAAAACAAAACAAGACCCTCAAAGTCAAGCCGAGTCAAGCCCCGAGTCAAGCCGCTAGCCGCTAAACCCCAAACGCCCAAACCTGAAAGCCCTGAGGGGCAGCTCTTGTGAGTCTAATACCGCTGCATCCTCGAAGCATGGCTCTGATCGCTCGAGGCAGAGGCCTTTCGCCCAGGAGCAGCATTGGCAGTTCGTGTTTCATGGTTCGGGGGTGTAGAGCTTGGGGGGAGGATGACGACATACCGCCCAAAACAATGACAATGATCGCGAATAATCCAAGAAGCCAATGTACTTATACTGCTTTTAGCAGGATTGCTAATTAATGGTACGACGATTGCGATTAAGACGCCAGCGACGAGGACGACGACTAAACTACTACGGGCGCACAACTCTTGGTCGACCTGCAATGATTCTGCTATCACGACTCGCTCTATCTGATAAGGTCTCTCTGCAGTCCCTCTACAAGTAGCATGTACTTCCGGCGCTTAGGCGGCACTGTGCAAAAGCCGCAGCACTACCGAACTTGTGTCTCAATAATGACTCTGCAGACTTTACCCCTGCAACACCAAAGCAACAGGCAGTGTTAGGGTTTGAAGCGATGAAAGATGAGCCGGGAAAGCAACAACGTTTACGAAACACTTCAACTGCATAAGGTCGACAGCGTGGAATGCTTGTTTGCCACCCGCTACAATCCGAAACTTGAGACTTCACCGTGGGTCCGCAGCGATTCTGCTGTTCGGTGGCCTGTGACGCCTGGAACATCGGCCCCACACACAAATCTCCAAAATGAAGGACGGGTACGAGAAGAACATCTTCAGCATTTCGCGCCCTTTACCCTGCCTGTGTCGGGTTCTCGCCGGGCGCTCCGCCCACATCGCCAAACTCGGTGCTGTCCCCAAATGCCGGGAAGACGGCTTGGAAGCCTTTGACCGGGTTCCAGAACTTCGCAGGACTATACACCAAATAGAATAGCAACAGGTAGGCATCATCATCATTATCATCATCATCACCATCACCATCATCATCGTCATCATGCGCAGCAGCAGCTGCGCAAGCATCGTCCCCGTTCGCCTCCTTCTCACCCCGATCGTCAGTGTCACCATCATCTTCATCTTCATCTTCCTCATCATCATCATCATGAATCTCACTCATATAACGTGGTACAGGATTGCAACTGTCCCAAATCTGCCGAGAAACTCGAGGCTCGTAGACACAACAACATGCCAAAACAATCTGCGTCCCTACAGTTCTTGAAAAGTACGACGATGATGTTGCAGCTAATGGCGTTTACGGTTACAGTGGTGAATAAGGGTGTTGCTGGGATGGTCGTGATGATTTTCTACGGTCGTCGGTTACAGTGATGAAGACGACGACGATGACGATCATCATGAACCTGATCTGATGGCACGAATGGCGAACAGGAAGGTGATACCAATGATCGAGCTTAGGACTTAGGAGGAAGAAGATAATGACTGCGATTGTGAGGATGATTCTGGTTATGTTAGTGAAGTGACGACGACGACGACGACGATGAGCGTCGTTATCATGATCGGGGTCATGAACCATGAAGATGCTGATGAAGAAGCAGACGATGATGACGGAGTGGCGGCCGATGATGATCATTATGATGATGAGGAGGAGTTGGATGAGGAGGATGGTCGCTCTGCACCTGCAGACTCCTGCTGCTGCGGACGGTGATGAGCAAAAAGACATAAGTGTCGACATAGCAATGATGTTCAGTCATTGAGTTTACCATCCGCACTCCCCGGCAACCCTCACCGCGCCTGCATCCCCCATGGCTTCGTGGACGTCTCCGCTGCCACCAGACTCTGAGGCCGGCAACTGGGCCCAGGGAGAAGGGTGACGGTCTCGGGTCCGGTCTCGGGTCTCGCGATAGGAAGCCTACATGGAGGCTTGGGAGTGAAGTTCAACACAGACCCAGGATTGTGGTTCGGAGTCATGGCATCGGTCGTGTCTTGCTCTGGCTTTCAGTGTCAGGCACTTTGGGATGCTCGAAGCTCTGGGCTCTGATGCGGATTCGGAATTGTACCAGTTTTGAGGCGCCGCGGTCAAGCAATGAAGACCTTCCAAGCTTAGAGGTTTCCCTGCCTGGGTAGAGGTCGACTCCTCGTGACTCCATCGCAACTGTAGTTTTCGGTGTTTGAGCCTTCCCAGAGGACCGTAGGCTGCCTCGCATGTGCATTCTTCAGCACAGATACTGTAGAAACCGGGCAAACATGTACATTCCTCGGAACGAAGTGCCGGACTATTAGCCAACTCTGAAGTACAACACAGCCACGCGTGACAAACGAAAGAACCAGGACGAGACCATGCAACGGACCCAGGATCCAGCGGTTGACCCAAAAAGAACTCCAAGCTCTTTCCGAAAATCTCAGACCACATCGATCTACGGCGCCTATCCTAATGTCCACATCCAAGCCCGGCACAGCAACCATGCAACCCTCCCTAAACCCTAAACCCTAAACCCTAAACCCTAAACCCTAAACCCTAAAACCCTAAACCCTAAAACCCTAAACCCTAAACCCTGATGGCTTCTCTCTGAGGCACCAGGGTTGGCTGAGCATGGCCACTGCCCCCTGACTCCCCGGCCTCCAGAAGCAACGGCTGATGACATAAATCCTGCATT